GTTATAAAGTAATTTCCAAACAATTTGACATCCAGATCTACAGCGACAGCATTTAAGACCGCTGCCTGTCTTCCCAGAGGTGGATGTCCTGAGAAATTCCCAAGATCAGGCGATACGATGCTCAGAGAAACGATGAAAAACCATATACACTACAGGCCTCGGTTAGTGTTTTAAAAGTTAAACTTCATGACAGTGCAGTTCAGTTAAAAAGACTGAACAAGAATGTTTTGTTTGGAAGGATTTCCAGGAGAACGACTTTTCTCTGACATGGACGAATCATTCGTTTTGGTCATTTCATGGGACAGTATCAAAAATACTTAACAATAAACACTCTTAAATGCCAAACAGGCACATTTGGTTTGAATTCCACCATACAGGACTTGAGAAGATCCAGGAAGCCTTTAAATTTCATAAAGGTTGTGTTCGAGAAACATAAGAGTAGTCGATTTTTGATAAGCGGGTTTGTTTTTGAACTGTTCGGAGAATGTCTCTGCTGCAACTGTGTCAAAGGCTCCAAAATAAAAGTTTAGATAAAAAAGATTTATTGATAAGCAAAACAGCATCTCTATATATTACATAAAGTCATCTTATGTACAAAATTAATTTGTATTGACTGAAAACACACAGTCCTCGTGCTGGAGCTGCATGTTCAGAGTCTTTGCAGTCATCCTTGTCAGCTCACGGTCACAGCACTTTATTCTATGCTTCTGCACTTTGGAAACAGCAGATGTGGAGTCAAATCAGGATTTGTTGTCTTTGCCTGCTTGGCTGGGGGGAGGATCCATCAGGTCCTTAAATCCCAGTTTCTCCAGAGGCTCCTTGGTCATCAGCTGACTGAAAACAAAAAATAAAACCAAGACGATTATACACGTTACCTTTGTTGATTCACTAGGTAACATTTTCATTGGCTTTCTTACTGGTCCATTCGGCACTCCAGGTAGTCTTTGGACTGCAGTCGGCACATGGAGTTGTCATAGTTGTTCTCTCTGAGACATTTCATGAACTTTTCTTTGAAGGCTTTGCACTCTCCTGGAAAAACAAAAGGACAAAATCAGGACTTGTGCATTTGTATGGTTATCTGTAACCCCCAGTAATAAAACTTTTTTTTCCGAGCCACACAACGCTAGTGCTTAAGGGGAACATTAAAGAATCAGGAGCCCACAGGTTGTCATCAACTTTCAGCCCCGATAAGGCGGCCGATCACGATCATCAGTCAGGATTTACAGAAGAAGCTGACATCCAGCACAAGTTATCGAGAACAATGGCCAACAACATAATGCACATATTTGATTTTTAATTGCCATTAAAAGTCTTTGAAAGTTATGACACGCTAATGTGGGTTCTTCTGTAGATCATACATGCAGAAAAAAAAAAATCATGTTAATAAAAACAGAATCAGTGAAGTTTGTATGAAACACAACATTTGTGCTACTGCCAAAACTTTCTGTCCATGACTGTGTATCATGATACTTTTCTAGCTTTTTAAGTGAAGGGCTGCTGCCAACATATTGCTTGAAGGTTCTGTGCAGTTTATATAGAGCAGGACAGACATTTGTGTTTTCAAATGAAAGGAAAAAAAATCAAACAGGTGAGGCGTTGTCCTACAAAGTTTCCTGATGTTTGTGAGTGAGTTGTTTTACATACACTCATCATGCGCGTGAAGATAAGATAAGATAAGATAACCTTTATTAGTCCCACACGTGGGAAATTTGTTTTGTCACAGCAGGAGTGGACAGTGCAAAAGTTATGAGGCAAAAATTAGGATACAATAAGAATAAATACAGTACACAACTGTACAGAATAGAATAAAATAAAATAAATATACAATAAGATAAAAATAGAATACAAATGCTATATACAACTGAGTAAAAATACAACGATGACAGAAAGGATTATTGCACTTAGTATTATTGCATATGTATGGATGTGTGTGCTTGATCAGTTAAAGTCTTTATTACGGAGTCTGACAGCAGTGGGGAGGAAAGACCTGCGAAATCTCTCCGTCCCACACCGTGGGTGCCGCAGTCTCCCACTGAAGGAGCTGCTCAGTGCTGTCACAGTCTGCTGCATGGGGTGGGAGATGTTGTCCATCAGGGATGACAGCTTAGCCGCCGTTCTCCTGTCACTCACCACCTCCACTGGGTCCAGAGGGCATCCTAGAACAGAGCTGGCCCTTCGGATCACCCTGTTCAGTCTCTTCCTGTCCCCAGCAGAGATGCTGCCGCCCCAGCAGACCACACCATAAAAGATAGCAGAAGCCACAACAGAGTCATAGAAGGTCTTCAGGAGTGGGCCCTCCACTCCAAACGACCTGAGTCTCCGCAGCAGGTACAGCCTGCTCTGCCCTTTCCTGTAGAGGGCGTCTGAGTTATGAGTCCAGTCCAGTCTGTTGTTCAGATGAACACCAAGGTACCTGTAGCTGTCCACAGCCTCAATGTCCATACCTTGGATGTTCAGTGGTTGCAGTGGAGAATGCTTGTGCCTGCGGAAGTCTACCACCAGTTCCTTGGTTTTACTGGCGTTGATCTGGAGGTAGTTCAGCTGGCACCAGTCCACAAAGTCTTGGGTCAGACCTCTGTACTCCTTGTCGTCCCCATCAGTGATGAGGCCGCTATTGCAGAGTCATCAGAGAACTTCTGCAGGAAGCACTGGGTGGAATTGTGGGAGAAGTCTGCAGTGTAGATGGTGAAGAGGAGCGGAGCCAGAACCGTTCCCTGTGGGGCCCCCGTACTGCAGACGACCCTGTCCGACACACAGCCCTGAGTCCTCACATACTGTGGTCGGTCGGTGAGGTAGTCCAAAATCCAGGCAGTGAGGTGATGGTCCACTCCAGAGTTCTCCAGCTTGTCCTTTAGAACCGAGGGAAGAATAGTGTTGAAGGCACTGGAGAAATCAAAGAACATGATTCTCACAGTGCTTCCAGCGGTCTCCAGGTGAGCGAGGGAACGATGTAGGAGGTGAATGACGGCATCATCCGCTCCAATGCCAGGCTGGTAGGCAAACTGAAGTGGGTCCAGTGATGAGCTTATTAGGCGCCGAAGCTGAGCCAGGACCAACCGCTCCAGGGTCTTCATCAGGTGATGAATGAATGGTCATTTTGAGCTTTTATAATTTCTTTAAAGTGCAACCAAGGTGCAACTTGCTAACGAACATTTAACCAAATAGTGCGGGTGTACATATATGAGTGTGTTGATTAAAGAAAATAATTTCAAACTTGTGCACCCAATTATAGTTTTGAAAACCATGAAAGATGTGTGGTGGTCAATCTTCATTTTCATTAAATGTCTCTTATTTTAATAAAGCAAACTGATCAGAAGTTTAATGTAGTTAAGAACATTTATAACTGGTATAAATATAACGCAGAGCAGCACATCATACATGTTTGTGTAAACGCTATTTTCATTACAGTCTGTCCTTCAGACCTTCTGTCCTAATAGCAATAGCATCAAGCATGGCTGTAAACGTCCATGTACCAATCCTGCTAAAAGGCAGCTGGCTTAGACAAAGGTCTATGAGTGCATTGCACTTATTTAAAACATTTCTAAATATTTATAGCATACACTGTCACAGTTATTATTAATTCTGTCGCTGTTGTGTCTGCGGTGAGGGGAACGAGAGTTATTTAACGGGGCAGACAGGCTCAGCTGGAGCTTACCGAAATGGTCCAGAGGGAACGAGCCTTTGTCCGGAGGCCGAGGTTTAAAAGTCTTCGACCCGAAATTCATAGCGGTAGACATTTTCTCTCAGTTCACAGAGGGCCGTCTCAAAATGTTTTGACATAAACAACAGCCTCTCCGTTTGACCCTGCTGTCGCGCAAGTATGACGTTTTATTTTGAGGGCTCGGCAGACAGACATTAGTAATCGATTGATGCTATCGTAAACTGTCCGCCCTTTCGTGAAAGAATAAGAGCTGATATTAATTAAACCCATATACGGGTTTAATTTTGGTCCTAATAAATGTGTAACTTATTTTTTTCCGTGGCATTAACAACCAGTCTGCTAAAAATGACCATGTAATGCACAATAGCAAACTGATACTATGACTACAGGGGGAAAGCACAGTGATCAGAATTTCCCCTCATTATAAACAAATGACTTTGGATACTTTGCAAAATAAAGTTCTCATGAAAACTAAAAAACAGTTTCATAATTCAAAATAAAAAAGAAACTAACTGTACACTGAATCTGATAGAACCGATTCATACTGTTCTCTTAGATACTGTAAGAAACTGAAAATCATAACTGCTGGTTGAAAATACTATTTAAAAATGATTTGATGCAACAACAAAAACGATTGCCTCAGGCAGCTGCCGACAGACGGTGATGAGGAACAGGAAGAGAAACTGTCACGGACGACCAAGCCCCTACATTGGATGACAGACAGAGGAACTGACTGACATTAGGAAATCCTACTGGTTAGAAGCCGACAGCGCAGAGGCTGCGATGATGGCAACACAAACACAGGCCCCAAGTGCCAGATCCATAGAAGTAAGCGTTTACCACAACCAACAGGACCCAAGCTGCAGACTGTGCAAGGCTGCCCCAGAGACTATCCAACACATGGCAGGCAACAGGATGTAAGATGCAAGCTGGGTCTGTGTGCAAGAACATCTGTGCTGCATATACCCTAAAAGTCCCCAAGTCCTGCTGGGAGACACCAACAAAGGTGGTTAAGAGAAACAGGCCAAATGCGCTGTGGTGTGAGTTGTGTTAAATGTGGTAATCGCAGCAGACAGCAACATCAGGAAGAAGGAGCAGGAGAAAATAGTAAATTACCAGCGGCTGAATGAACATCTGGAACAGATGTGGAAGTCCAAAGCGATCCCAGTGGTAATCAGGGGTCTCCATCCAGGAGAGTGCAACCCCGGAAACAACCTGCAACCTTCCCTCAGATGGGAGATATATGTTAATATCTATTTATTAATAGTAGGCACACTTATTCACCTCTCCGTTGCTGCGTGTGCATTCAGAGCACGTTCATGTTATCAGTTTCATTTAAATGACATTTTTGCACGAGCGGAGGATCCGACTCCACTGGATTCTTTAAACGTGCAGCTTCACCTAGCTCACCGCTGGATGTCTCACTTTTCTAAGATATAAGGCTGAAGGGAAAGCAGGCAGACAGACAGGAGGGGAGGAGGCGGCGATGGTAACGTGTGGGCTTGATTATTATGCAGCCAAAGAGCCTGGGTAATAGAGCTATCAGTGAGAGGCAGAAAGAGCTCTCGGCGCGGATCGCTCAGTTTCCTTTTCTCTCTCTGCTCTCTTATCCTCGGGCACAGCTCGGATCGGAGGTGGCAGGTGACCAGTCTGTCTGTCTGCTGGACCCCAGCGGCGGATGTTCTTGGGCACCTTCTTCCCACCGCGGTGAGGCTGGACGGATAAACTCACCATGGCGCTGGAAGCGGAGGGGAACAAGCTGCAGCTGCAGGACGTGCTGGCGAGACCGGGCAACGACAAGTGCGCGGACTGCGGCAATCCAGGTAAGGCAAACCTTCCCCCCTCCACCCCGTCCACCAGCCCCGTTACTGAAAACCCGGCGCCCGGTGGAGCCAGCGCATCCAGCTGCCGGTGCGCGTGTGCGTTTCGAGCCGCTGTACACCAGCAGGGGGTACATGAGCCAACTGGCACTTCAGAACCGCACAAGTCTGAGCGAGTCTGATGACAAAGGCCCGCAGATACCCGAGGACAAAGTAGACCAAAGTAAGCCTGACAGTGGACTCTGGACTTATAAGTCTGAGCCATAAACCAATTAAACTGTGTGAAGACATGCCAACTCTGCTCCTCACTCCGTGTGTGTGTGTGTGTGGTTTTGTGTTATTACAGTCTACACTGTCAGCAACCTCCATAAAGCTCAGTTATTACTTGTGTGTGAGTGGTTTTGCTCTACATGTTCCTGACTGTGTGTCCACCCTATTCCTGTGCAGCTATTTATGTTCATTTTTCACTGTCTTCATCTCTCTTCCCCCCCACCCAGATCCTCTCTTCATCATCCTTTCAGTACACCCCTCCTTCCTCGTTGCTCAAATGGCAGTAAACCAGTGAGTGGCCAGTCGAGGCTCCAGTACGGGCCGAACGCCCAGTGCTTGGAGCCGAGCCTGCCCGGGACGCCTGTTCCTTGGCCCCGGTTACGGCTCCTCTGAGGACTGGCTGTAGCAGAGCAGCATTTTTTTTTTTACATTTTATTTATTTATTTATTTATTTGAGCCAAAGGCACTTTTGCAAAACGAGATAGCTTTGTCTGAGGGGTAGACACTTAAAGAGGGATTTCATTGTGATTGTAGCAAGGTGGAAAGGTTGTTATTTTTTGTGGTTGATGCAGCTTTTAATTAGCAGAAGCATTTTTCTTTTCTTTTCCTTTTTTTATTATCAGCAACCTACATAACAACAGTTCAGCCTTTTGTCAGTTTATAACAGCTTTTACACAATGGTTAAAGTGAGATTTGGCAGGGCGGGGGGAACACTGAAATCCGGTGTAGTGGTGCAGTAGGGAACAACGACTCACCTTAAAATAACTCAGAGATTGATTTGTACCGTTAGCTCCAGTGGGTATGTGTCTTAGCAGACAGCTTGACTCCAAAACTATGACTACTTAATATTATCTCTATGTGTGTATGGATACCTTAGACTGCCCTCCACCAGGCCAATATCAATCAATCAATTCTTATCTGCTTATCCAATTCACGGTTGCAGAGGGGCTGGAGTCTATCCTAGCGACCACAGGGGGAGAGGCAGGGTACACCCAGGTTGCCAGCCTGACACAGGCCTAACACAGAGAGACAGACAATACATTCACACTCACATTCACACATCTCTGTAATTTAGAATCACCAATTAACCCAACCTTGAGTCCAAACCCATGACTTGATATAATATAAGTTTGCACATGGATACCTCAACCAACCCTCCACCAGCCCAAATAAAGTCAATTAAAATTAGCCACAGTGTTGCAGAGCCACATCCACAAAAGAGGTTTTGGTACATATCTGCTGAAAGCTAACAAAGTGTGAAATTATCACTTGAAATTAAGTTTATGGTAGTTAGCAAGGCATCACTGTTATTTTCTTTATACTTTTCGTCAAGGACCCTAGTTTTTTAACCTTAATTAGAGTTATAAAAATTGATTAATATGAACAATAGGCTCAGTAGATATTTTACTAAGTAGTTTACAAATGAGTCCCATTGGTGTGCTGGGTTTGGTGGAAAATTGTGGATATTTGTGGCATTCAGAAGATGCATCCTAGCTGACCCCTGTGAGACCCCAGCCATACGTGAATGCTATTAAAACATATGGGATGGTTGTTCAGTAGAATAGAGTAGAAAAGAGAGTAGAATACTGATGGGCAGTAGTCATTAGCTTCATTGTTAATTAGTAAATGTTAGCATACTTGAGGAAAGACAGTACTTTATAAGTGTTACTTATGCTGGAAGCCAATTCTCCAAGCTGAAATTAAAATGAAACCTGATCTGTTATGTATCTAAAAGACATCCTTGTCAAGTATGCTGTCTTCTTTAAGATGATGAACATGGTAAAGGTTATAGACGGTTAGCATTAGCATTGTTTCTGTGAGCGTGTGGCTGTGTTAGCATAAGCATTTATTTGCAAACCTGTACAGACTCACAGGCCAGCTAGCATGACTACATGCTGTTTGGGGAAAGCTGGCACAATGATTTACACTGATCAAGCGTTATTTGTCTCTTGGGATGTCGTTTTTGATGATTTGTTCACTGTTCTGCAACAGTTCACTATGCCTCAGGGAAAGATTGGCATTGAATGTTCCCGAGCTAAAACTGTTAAGCAGTTTTCCCTGGCAAGTACACCACTTTTCACCTTTGCAATGATTGCACAATAGAATCTCGCCTCTGAAGAGCAGTTGATGTTCTGTTCTGTGTGGCAGTGCCAATTGTATCCGGGATGTAATACAACAGTTTAGGGGAAGGAGCTGGAAAATCTGATCCGCCAAGTCGTGTACACTCGTTTTCCTCAAGAGGTGATGAAATTTCCTTCAGCATGCGTGCTATAGTTTAGTTGAATCCAACTGCTTTGTTTCCTAATTACTGTGCTTCTTTCATAAAATTTCACAAGAGTACAAGCAGCACAGATGAAACCCCCACCAGTACCACTTCCCCTGTTGGCAGGAACCAGGAATCCCCAGGCTAATAATTCACATCTCATCAAGATATGAATTTTTGATGTTGGTTTTGGTGGTTCAATTATGGGATGGTTTCAATATAGAGAAAAACAGACAAATCCGCTCAATAGACAAAAGAGAAAGGAAAAAAACATCATTGTGGCTGTTAAGTAGAATATAACAGATACCATACAAAGAGGTAAGTACAAAATGGGAAATAGTTTTTTCATATTTAGTGAAGCAAACATTTGATTTTCCTTAAACGAGTGCCATCCTTGTTCTGCTTATCCAGTTCTGGCTTGTGGGAGAACTGGATCCCAGGTATCGAAGAGCGAGAGGTGGGGTACACCCTGCACTCGTATATCCAATCTAAAACCTGGAAAGAATCCACACAAGCATGGTGAGAACAAGCTTGTTCGTTCAGGCCACAGGCTGATTTCGAACCCAGTAACCTTCTCCCTGTATTCAGAATTTTCTTATTCATTTTACACATCAGTCACTGACTAAGAAACAGAGCAACATTGCACACTTCCCAGATAGAAACTTGTCATTGACAAGGTGGATCTGCCCTAAAGCAGCGGTGCCCAAACCCGGGCCACAGACCAGTACCAGTCTGTGAGTCATTTGGTACCAGGCCGCGAGAGTTGATGCTCGGGTGTGAAATCTATGGTTTTCTGGGTTTTCTATTTTTTTTTATCAATTTTATTGTTAACTCAGTTTCCCTGGGTCTTTTCCCATGTGTTATGAATCTTTTTTTGTTTTGTTTTTTTTGTTGTATTTATCTGCAACACCTTAAAGGCCAGGCCGTGAAAATATTGTCGGACATAAACCGGTCCATGGTGCAAAAAAGGTTGGGGGCCGCTGCCCTAAAGGATGCTCTACTTTGTCCCCCTCTTTTGCTTTAATAGGGTCACAGTTTACAAAATGAACAACATGCTGTGTTCAGTGAGAAATGAAACTAGCGATTGAGGCCATAAAACTCATCAGAAGACTGTTTGGTCATTTCATAGATTGAGGGAGCATAAGGGTCATTTTTCACAGGCTTATATAAAAAATGCACTTATTTTATCTCCCAGGAGATGCCGGCAGCATGTCCCTCAATTAATCTTGTATAATGGCCATTCCCAGATGTTGCAGTTCACACAGTTCTTCTCCTAGTTGACTTAGTGGGAGTACAGACATTTAAATTTGTTTGAAATCTGATTGCATTAATCACAGTGGTGCATTTGTTAAAGAATCTGTATGCATAAATTTAAGACCAGACCAGAAACCAAGACAAGCGACTGTTAAGTGGGTGTGAGGGCTTTCAGCTAGTTTACAAGTAAACATTTACACTCTGAAAAGGTCTTCTCCAGAAATATATCGCTTTCTGCAATGACTCACACGATAATTCAAATGGGATTAGGAAATAAGAAAAGCATGCATTGTGCTAGACAAAATTATTTAGGAGTCTAGTCCACTAGCCGTCGTGTGGTTGTCTGGCTCTCGCCTTCTCTCGATTTCACACTTACAGCTAATTTAGAATCACAAATTGACCTTAAGCAGATCTTCGGTGTGTGGGAGGAAACCCGTGCAGAAGCACTCCAAACAGAAAGATCTTTCTTGGTGAAGAATGAAATATGTCAGAAAAAAGACAGTTTCTAGCTTTACTTTGCTATAAAGGTGACAGGTTAGCCTGCTTTTCCTGAAAGATGAGGTCCTCTATTTTCCCTGCTACGCTACATCGCATGAAATCCTTCTATTGTTCGTGAATTTGCAGACTTACAAAGTAAAACACATCGCAGCATCAGCAGTGACCTGCCTGTCCTTCCTCACCCGTGTCTTATCGTCCCATCTCAGATACAACATTCATTAAGCAGGCAGAAAGCTTGCTGGAATTGGGCTGAAAACACGCATGGCTTGTGGATGTTTTTGTAATGCTTAGTCATTCTTACTTTGCCCTTCCTTACCTTTGCGTTTCTTCCCCTATCTTCACTCTGCTGGTGCGCTTTGATGAGACCGCTGAGAGGCTGAGCTGGGCGCCTGTACTGCGGGGTTTCTCTGTAGCTCAGCAGCACTGTGGTTCTGCCCTCTGCTGAGGACACACAAATGATTTTTTGCCTCCAGAGAGAAGCCTCAGCAATCCTTTTAGGTGTGCAGAAGGTGTTTATAGAACAGCAAATCAGCAGGTCCAAGATGAGATATAACGAGGTTTAGGTTCCTTTTGCAGTACCACTCATTGCTTTCTGGGGTTTTTTTTAGGTTTGAAACGTCTGAAAGCGACCGGCCTGGGTTCAAGTCCGACCCGCAAAATAATCAGAAATAAATAATAAATAATCAGAATACAAGTTGACACTCATCTAAGTCGAGTT